ATTTACATATTTATTTTACATAGAAAGAGTAAATAAAGTTACACTAATAACACAATATTTTATGCTCAATTGCGTTGTTACAATTAATACAACAGCTTCTTTAAAATACATAACTATAGTATAAATAACATAATACAATAACAAACAACACTATAAGGCAGTCGTACATATATACATAATATCAATTGCACATATGAAACATAAGACATATTTACTTAGTGCCAACTATTGAGGTAATTTAGTAACATAGGGCAAAAAATGTTGAAAATAAAAATTGTTAAGTTTAGAGCTCATATTATTTTCAAAGAATTCGTCGTCTCGTTGAATCTTTTCGAAAAGAAATCCTTTCGGCGTCCATACAACAAAATAACAAAAATCGCGCTTAGTTATGTGTAGCTGTCCCTGAACCTGATAAAAATAATTATGATTTTGTTTTAAGTGCATATTGTCATTTTGGAAAACAGCGTATGTAATTTTTTTTGTTAAAATAGCTTCCTGAGGTGTTAGTGTTCTACAGCTGTAAGGGCATTTAATTTCAACAAGGCCGTTAGAACTAATAAGACCGTCTGGACTCGCTCCAAGGTAATTTGCTTGTTCATCGATATAAAATCCAGACGGTTCTACAGATTGCTCCAAGTACTCAGAAAACTCTGTGATTGCTATGGGTTCGTGTTCAATTCCGTAAGAAGTGCTTTTTGAGGAAAAACTTTGAAGGAAGTTTTTTATTGTTTTACCTGGATTTGTTGTAGGCCTCAGTTTACAAATTTTACCGAACATAGAAGCGGTAATCCTTTTTCGTCTTTCTGTAAACCATAATGCGGATTGTCTTTGTTCTTTTGTATTCTCTGCAATTTCTAATATTTCTTCCTTAGTTTTCTTCAATGATCTAAGAAACACGTTTGTTCTTCTTGTCAGTTCTTCAGCATCTAAAATTTCTTCCACGTCCCCATAGTCTTCGTCTGCCTCAGTAACAACTTGCTTCTTATTGGATTTCTTTGTTTTTTGAAATAGCTGTCTCTTGCAGTTTAATTTCTTTTTTTTTTTTCAATAAACTTTTTTGTGTGGAAACCGGGACTTTTATCAGTGATTGCTTTGTGCAAAACCGATTGAAATGCAACCCCTGTATTGTAGCAAATACTCGCCGCTTGACACCTCATTTTATACCCTCCTCTTTTTGAAAAGTCTACTCTCTTTCCTTCAATAAACTTAGCAACGACGCTGTTATATGATTCCGCGGAATTGTTTGTCATATTTTTGATCAAACTTTTACTATTGTATATAAGTCTGTTAGCAAAAGACATGATATCATTGTACAACCCACATTGTTTTAAAGTCGAAACTTGATTAAATTCATTTGGTTTATCACCTTTGCAGAAGTAATTATCACATTTCTTATGTTCACCAAAAACATGAGAAACACTGTTTTCTATGTCTTTTTTCAAATGATTGACTTGGTCTTGAAATGAAACATCCTGAGATCTTCTATATTTGACCGCGCAATCCACTGCTGTTCTAAGGCGTTGTATAGACTTTTTCAGAAATTGTCGAAGAAAAGGTGCGATGGGAAGTCCTTTGGAACTAAATTTTTTTGTTGCTAGATTTTTTAAGTTAGTGCAATAGTTCCTTAACAAATGATTAGAGCACTCAATTTTTTCCACTACATATGGACTCTCTGCTTGAAGTCTCTTCAGAACACTACTGTCGCCATCACCAACGAGATACGCATATTTTAGTCCGTGAATTGATATGCTTTGTTTAAATCCCTCTAAAATAATGTCACTTTCCATCCCAGTAGATGTTCCGTCCCAGTTTTTAAAACATACATGCTCCATTCCTCCCATATGACACATGGCACAGAATTTATTGCGTATTCCCAGGAATAAGAGTTTACCGGTCCTTTGTCCAACGATACATGCTGCACCAGAACGAGCGTTGTATGCTGAACGATAAGATCGTTTACATCACGCTCCGTCAGCTATCACTGTGATCATCGGAATATCATTTTCGTCAACATCGTCATTTTCTTTGGCCATCTCTGCTTCTTTTTTTCCAGCTTCAATCATGCATTTCCAAGACTCTTCTTCAATAATTTCTTGCAAATTATCTTCTACATCTTTATATCTTTTATAAGATATTTCTGGGATGTTCATGGCACTGACAAATTCATTTAATTGTGAAAATCCGCAACCGATGCTTATTGCACCCAGTACCGCAGCTCCATTTGTATTTAATTTTCCATCAGTTTTATCTGAATAAACTTTATGCTCAACTTTACATAAGTCGCATATCAATACAAATTCAGAAATAAAACCTTTTCTTACTTCCTTTAAAATGCGAACAGTGTTTCCAGAAGAGCCCGAAGAACAAGAAAATAATCCATGGTGAGGAAATGACAAAATCTGCTCGATAAATGATTGTACTTCAACGATTCTTCGCCCGCCCATCGAATCGCTGATTACCTTTTCCTTTTCGCAAGGCGTACTTTCCTGAGAGCAGTATAAAGAGTCCTGACTATTGTTTGAATATTTCCAATCTTCTTGTTCTATAATGCTTGCAGAAGTACTGGGATGCGGCTGTGTGTTCTTCAATTATTAGGCTACTATTTGAAGCAGCATTTTGTCCACAATTTTTTAGTGTGTCGGGATTTGTGGACCATAACGTACGCATTGCTATTCTGAAAATAAACCAATATTAATATTGTAAAGGTATACTTTTGACCCTATAGTTCAGTGGATAACAATGTGACACAAGTAAATGTTCTTTGACTCAATACTTTTATTTCACCTAATTTTTATGCACTTAAAGTACGAATAAAAAACTTCTCTTACCTTCGCTTTGCCAACAGTTTTTTGTTTTTTCGATGACGGGTAAGTCCCAATTGTTTATTCTTACATCCTCCCATTTTGTTGAGGTAGAGATAAACGAGATGAACGTGATAAATAAAAAACTACTATACACCACGATTTACACACTACCACTTTTCGCAAGTTTTTTGATGTAGAAAATAAACACTTGTGTTATAATATTTTATCTTGTGAAACGATCCCTAAGATAAATAACAAGAAAATTACTAGGTCCCAAATTTATACGAGTTTTTCTTTCCTCCACCAAGATTCATCCCCAACCACTTTCTAATTTGCCTATCAAAAATTAGCATTCTGTTGTGACGTAGCCTTCAAATCCAATCGGCATCAATATATCCACCTGCGAGAGAATTTCCAGGAACAGACTGTTTTCACGCATCTGTTTTTAAATTTCTCATATTCGGGCACCCAAAATTTCTCACGAATCTTAAGACTCGTCATGCATCACCATGTACTGATCAATAACAACTTTATAGAAATGGGTTCGGTCTTTTTTTATGGCCCAGCGATTTACACCATATCCCATTTCCACAAGAAACGTAGTAAGTATTTGACTTATCGTGATTTACGAGTTGGTGCAGCGCAGCGTGTGACAAAGACAAGAACAGTTGAAACAAAACATTCGAGAGTTGATTTCTGATGTAATGTAAGGGTATTTTCTAGCTGGAATTTTGGGCACAACTATTAAAAACAACGTTCAGTACGTATCTAGAATGGTTGATATAGGAATGATAGAGCCCGCTGGATCATTTTCGAATGAAAAAACTCACACAGTCACCACAAAAAAATAGTACAAAGCTATGATTTTATTAGGGTTTTTAGGATTTTTTTTACACAAAACTGTGATTTTTTTTGCAATTTCAAGGATACAGCGGGCTTTAGATTTAGTTCTTCTAAACGCACGATTTTTTTCGTCATAACTGGTTGCTTAGTTTTGGCGCAAAATGTGTTCGAAAACAGCTGAAATTGTATCAAATTTCTACCGGGAAGTATCCCCTTAAGTGTGTTTTAAATCCTTGGGAAATATGTGATGTTCATGCTTTCCCCACTCATCCCTCATTATTTTTCTCTCTTGCCCTCCCTTTAAATTTTAATACTCTAAGAAATACAGAAGTTCAGATCTACATTTCTACCAAGTGAAATTTAAAGAAACTAGGACTCTTTTAGAAAATTTTGGACTTCACTCTTCTCTTCTCTCATCCTTTCACTCATCTCTTCATTCTTTTCTTGTTTATTTCCATCTCTGTCTCTAGCTTTATAACTCTTTTCGTCTTTTTGTTCTTCCATTTTCTCCTTTCTTTTACTCCCCTTTTTTCCTTCTTCCTCTCCCTCGAATTTTTTTCATATCTCATAAGCGCGTTTAGAAATTAAGATCTTCAAAGAGAAATCAAATGTGTTTTAAATACTTGGGAAATGTGGTCTTCATTGTTTTCTTCATTCATCCCTCCACTATTTCCCACTATTTTTCCCCCCCTTTGCCTCATTCGTCATTCTCTCTTTCCCTCTCCCCCAATTCCTCGGTTCTCTCCTTCTTTTTGACTCTCCTCAGCTTTCTTTTTCTCCCTTTTCCACTTTTTTTTTCTATCACCTTTTCCGTCTCGCTTTTCGTCCCTCGAGCTATTGTGTATCTCAAGATCTTCTGAAATTAGTTAAGTGTGTTTTAAATCCTTGGGAAATATGTGGTGTTCATGCTTTCCCCCACTCATCCCTCACTATTTTTCTCTCTTGCCCTCCCTTTAAATTTTAATACTCTAAGAAATACAGAAGTTCAGGTCTACATTTCTACCAAGTGAAATTTAAAGAAACTAGGACTCTTTTAGAAAATTTTGGACTTCACTCTTCTCTTCTCTCATCCTTTCACTCATCTCTTCATTCTTTCCTTGTTTATTTCCATCTCTGTCTCTAGCTTTATAACTCTTTTCGTTTTTTTGTTCTTCCATTTTCTCCTCTCTTTTAGTCTCCTTTTCTTCCTTCTTCCTCTCCCTCGAAATTTTTTTGTATCTCATAAGCGCGTTTAGAAATTAAGATCTTCAAGGAGAAATCAAATGTGTTTTAAATTCTTGGGAAATGTGGCCTTCGTTGTTTCCTTCATTCATCTCTCCAGTATTTCCCACTATTTTTCCCTCCCTCTTTTCCTCATTCTCCATTCCCCTCCCCCAATTCCTCGGTTCTCTCTTTTTGAATTTCCTCTGCTTTCTTTTCCTCTTCTTCTCTTTCCTTTTCTCTCTTCTTTTCCTTTGTTCTTTTTGTCCCTTGACCTATTTTGTATTTCAAGATCTTCTGAGAGTAGTAACCTGTGTTTTAAATCCTTGGGAAATATATGGTCTTTACTTTTCCCCCTCTCATCCCTCACTATTTCCTTCTACTCTCCTCCCTTTAAATTTCAATACTCTAAGAAATACAGAAATTCAGGTCTACAGTTCTATCCAGTGAAATTTCAAGAAACTAGGACACTTTTAAAAAATCTTTTAGTTTACTCTTCCCTTCTCTCATCCTTTCGTTCATTTCTTCCCTGTTTCATTCTTTATTTCGGTCTCCGTCCTCTCTCTCTCTCTTTCTAACTCTTTTTGCCTTTTTGTTCTACCATCTTCTCCTCTTTTTACTTCCTTCTTTCTCTTCCTCGAACTTTTTTCACGTTTTCTAAGCCTGTTAAAAATTAAATGTGGTCTTCACTCTTTCCTTCACTCATCCCTACACTCTTTGTCACTATCTTTCCCTCCCGCTTTTCCACATTCTTCATTCTCGCTTTCTCTCTCCCCCAATTCCTCTGTTTCTCTCCTTCGTTTTAATTTTCCACTGCCTTCTTGTTCTTCTTCTTCCCCTTTCTTTTCTCTCTCCTTTTCCTTCCTTCATTTCGTCCCTCGATCTACCTAGTGAAATTGAGAAAAACAAGGACACTTTTAAAAAATCTTAGACTTCACTCTTCCCTTCTCACCTACTTTCACTCATCCCTTCATTCTTTCTCTCTTTATTTCCATCTCTGTCTCTCTCTTTCTAACTCTTTTCACTTTTTTGTTCTTCCATCTTCTCCTCTCTTGTACTCTCCTTTTTCTTCGTTCTTTCCTTTCGTCGATTTTTTTTCACAATTAAGATATCTCAAGAGAAATCAAATGTGTTTTAAATTCTTGGGAAATGTGGTCTTCACTCTTTCCCTCACTCATCCCTCCACTATTTCTCTCTATCTTTTCCTCCCCCTTCCCCATTCTTCATTCTCTCTTTCGCTCACCCCCAATTCCTCTGTTTCTCTCTTTCTTTTTGACTTTCCTCTGCTTTCTTTTCCTCTCTCTTTTCCTTTCTTTTGTTTCTCCTTTTCATTCGCTCTTTTCGTCCCTAGACCTATTTTGTATTTTAAGATATTCTGAGAGTAGTAACCTGTGTTTTAAATCATTGGAAAATATATGGCCTTTAGTTTTCCCCCACTCATCCCTCACTATTTCCTTCTATTCTCCTCCCTTTTAATTTCAAGACTCTAAGAAATACAGAAATTCAGGTCTACAATTCTACCAAGTGAAATTTCAACAAACTAGGACCCTTTTAAAAAATCTTGGAGTTTACTCTTCCCTTCTCTCATCCTTTCGTTCATCTCTTCCCTGTTTCTTTCTTTATTTCGGTCTCCATCCTCTCTCTCCCTTTCTAACTCTTTTTGCTTTTGTTCTTCTATCTTCTCATCCTTTTTTTTTCTTCCTTTTTTCTCTTTCTCGAATTTTTTTCACGTTTCCTAAGCGTGTTAAAAATTAAGATCTTCAATGAGATATCAAATGTGTTTTAAATTCTTAGAAAATGTGGTCTTCACTCTTTCACTCACTCATCCCTCCACTCTTTGCCACTATTTCTCCCTCTCGCTTTCCCACATTCTTCATTATCGCTTTCTCTGTCCCCCAATTCCTCTGTTTCTCTCTTTTGTTTTAATTTTCCGCTGCCTTCTTGTTCTCCTTCTTCCCCTTTCTTTTCTCTCTCTTTTTCCTTCCTTCATTTCGTCCCTCGATCTACCTAGTGAAATTGAGAAAAACAAGAACACTTTTAAAAAATCTTAGACTTCACTCTTCCCTTCTCACCCACTTTCACTTATCCCTTCATTCTTTCTCTCTTTATTTCCATCTCTGTCTCTCTCTTTCTAACTCTTTTCACTTTTTTGTTCTTCCATCTTCTCCTCTCTTGTACTCTCCTTTTTCTTCGTTCTTTCCTTTCGTCGATTTTTTTTCACAATTAAGATATCTCAAGAGAAATCAAATGTGTTTTAAATTCTTGGGAAATGTGGTCTTCACTCTTTCCCTCATTCATCCCTCCACAATTTCTCTCTATCTTTTCCTCCCCCTTCCCCATTCTTCATTCTCTCTTTCGCTCACCCCCAATTCCTCTGTTTCTCTCTTTCTTTTTGACTTTCCTCTGCTTTCTTTTCCTACCTCTTCTCCTTTCTTTTGTTTCTCCTTTTCATTCGCTCTTTTCGTCCCTAGACTTATTTTGTATTTTAAGATCTTCTGAGAGTAGTAACCTGTGTTTTAAATCATTGGAAAATATATGGTCTTTAGTTTTCCCCCACTCATCCCTCACTATTTCCTTCTATTCTCCTCCCTTTTAATTTCAAGATTCTAAGAAATACAGAAATTCAGGTCCTACAGTTCTACGAAGTGAAATTTCAAGAAACTAGGACCCTTTTAAAAAATCTTGGAGTTTACTCTTCCCTTCTCTCATCCTTTCGTTCATCTCTTCCCTGTTTCTTTCTTTATTTCGGTCTCCATCCTCTCTCTCTCTCTTTCTAACTCTTTTTGCTTTTGTTCTTCCATCTTCTCCTCTCTTTTTTTTTTCTTCTTTCTCTTTCTCGAATTTTTTTCACGTTTCCTAAGCGTGTTAAAAATTAAGATCTTCAAAAAGATATCAAATGTGTTTTAAATTCTTAGAAAATGTGGTCTTCACTCTTTCACTCACTCATCCCTCTACTCTTTGCCACTATTTTTCCCTCCCGCTTTTCCACATTCTTCATTATCGCTTTCTCTCTCCCCCAATTCCTCTGTTTCTCTTTTTTGTTTTAATTTTCCACTGCCTTCTTGTTCTCCCTCTTCCCCTTTCTTTTCTATCTCCTTTTCCTTCCTTCATTTCGCCCCTCGATCTACCTAGTGAAATTTAGAAAAACTAGGACACTTTTAAAAACTCTAAGACTTCACTCTTCTCTTCTCACCCACTTTCAATTCTCTCTTCATTCTTTCTCTCTTTATTTCCATCTCTGTCTCTCTCTTACTAATTCTTTTCGCTTTTTTGTTCTTCCAGCTTCTCCTCTCTTTTACTCTCCTTTTTCTTCCGTCTTTCCTTTCGTCGATTTTTTTTTCACATTTCATAAGAGTGTTTAGAAATTAAGATATCTCAAGAGAAATCCTCACTCTTTCCCTCACTCGTCCCTCCACTAGTTCTCTCTATCTTTCCCTCCCCACTTCCCCCATTCTTCATTCTCTCTTTCCCTCACCCCCAATTCCTCTGTTCCTCTCTTTCTTTTTGACTCTCCTCTGCTTTCGTTTCCTCCCTCTTCTCCTTTCTTTTGTTTCTCTTTTTCATTCGCTCTTTTCGTCCCTCGACCTATTTTGTATTTCAAGATCTTCTGAGAGTAGTAACCTGTGTTTTAAATCCTTGGGAAATATGTGGTCTTCATTCTTTCTGCCACTCATTCCTTATTATTTCCCTTGGTGTGACTCAACATTGGCATCAGGCGAATTAAAGAAACTTTAGATTTTGCATTAGAAGGATTAAAGAGAAATCTAGGAAAGAATAGATTCTGTGTAAAGAGAATTCTAAGAAAGAAATTTCGACTATAGAATGCAGTTACAGTTCAAACACGAAAAAGCGAAAGTTGTGAAGATTCTAGAATATTCTAGAAAGATCATTCTGGTGATCTGCAATAAAACAGATGACATACATTAGAGAAATAAGTTTTTAATTCTATGGACATTTAGCAATAAATTTACAGAACTCGTGCCAATACCTCATCAGTCATGCTAACATCGGCATCAAGCGAATTAAGCAAACTATAGATTTGGCATTACAGGGGTTAAAGAGAAATCTAGGAATGAATAGATTCTAGATTCTATTTTAAGAAAATGAAAAACATAAGCATTTGTATATCGCTGCAGTATCGGAATAGAAGAAAAAAATTCTGTGTAAAGAAAAATCAGCCAAAAGAATTCTAAGAAAGAAATTTCGACTACAGAATGCAGTTAGAGTTCAAAGACGAAAAATCAGAAGTTATGAAGATTTTAGAATATTCTAGAAAGATCATTCTGGTGATCTGCAATAAAACAGATGACTTACATTAGACAAATAAGTTTTTAATTCTATGGACATTTAGCAATAAATTTACAGAACTCGTGCCAATACCTCATCAGTCATGCTAACATCGGCATCAAGCGAATTAAGCAAACTATAGATTTGGCACTAGAAGGGTTAAAGAGAAATCTAGGAAAGAATAGATTCTAGATTCTATTTTAAGAAAATGAAAAACATAAGCATTTGTATGTCGCTGCAGTATCAGAATAGAAGAAAAAAATTCTGTGTAAAGAAAGATCAGCCAAAAGAATTCTAAGAAAGAAATTTCGACTACAAAACGCAGTTAGACTTCAAAGATGAAAAAACAAAAGTTATGAAGATTTTAGAATATTCTAGAAAGATCATTCTGGTGATCTGCAATAAAACAGATGACTTACATTAGAGAAATAAGTTTTTAATTCTATGGACATTTAGCAATAAATTTACAGAACTCGTGCCAATACCTCATCAGTCATGATAACATCGGCATCAAGCGAATTAAGCAAACTATAGATTTGGCATTACAGGGGTTAAAGAGAAATCTAGGAATGAATAGATTCTAGATTCTATTTTAAGAAAATGAAAAACATAAGCATTTGTATGTCGCTGCAGTTTCGGAATAGAAGAAAAAAATTCTGTGTAAAGAAAGATCAGCCAAAAGAATTCTAAGAAAGAAATTTCGACTACAAAATGCAGTTAGAGTTCAAAGACGAAAAATCAAAAGTTATGAAGATTTTAGAATATTCTAGAAAGATCATTCTGGTGATCTGCAATAAAACAGATGACTTACATTAGAGAAATAAGTTTTTAATTCTATGGACATTTAGCAATAAATTTACAGAACTCGTGCCAATACCTCATCAGTCATGCCAACATCGGCATCAAGCGAATTAAGCAAACTATAGATTTGGCATTAGAGGCGTTAAAGAGAAATCTAGGAAAGAATAGATTCTAGATTCTATTTTAAGAAAATGAAAAACATAAGCATTTGTATGTCGCTGCAATATCGGAATAGAAGAAAAAAATTCTGTGTAAAGAAAGATCAGCCAAAAGAATTCTAAGAAAGAAATTTCGACTACAAAATGCAGTTAGAGTTCAAAGACGAAAAATCAAAAGTTATGAAGATTTTAGAATATTCTAGAAAGATCATTCTGGTGATCTGCAATAAAACAGATGACTTACATTTGAAAAATAAGTTTTTAATTCTATGGACATTTAGGAATAAATATGCAGAACTCGTGCCAAAACCTCGTCAGTCATGCTAACATTGGCATCAAGCGAATAAAGGAAATTGTAGATTTTGCATTCGAGGGGTTAAAGAGAAATCTTTGAAAGAATAGACTAAGTATATGTATTATATTTTAAGAATAAAAAAAAAACGTGGTCTTCACTTTTTCCCTCACTCATCCCTCCACTATTTCCCTCTATCTTTCCCTCCCCCTTTCTCTCATTCTTCATTATTTCTTTCTCTCTCCCCCAATTCTTCTGTTTCTCTCCTTCTTTTTGACTCTCCTCTGCTTTCTTTTTCTCCCTCTTCTCGTTTCTTTGCTCTCTCTTTTTCTTTCACTCTTTATCCCTCGACCTATTTTGTATGATGCTGAAATATCACACAATATTAACTCAATCGTAGATGCTATTTTCCTACAAAATTATTTCCTTCACCCGAAAAATGAACGTTATCATTTTCATGATTATAAAATTGATCAGAGCTTTCTTCCGCGTTGTGAAACTGTTAAAGACTTTGATAATAATTTTTTCTGATTTGATCGAGATTACATAAATATTATTTCGTCCTGTAATCAAATGCTGGGTTTTATTACGCGCAGTCATAAATCTTTTCTTCTTGACTGCCTCATAAACTTGTATAGAGCTTTTGTCTTAAACAAACTAGAATATGCTTCCATTGTATATTCTTGATTGAGAATGTCCAACGAAGATTCTTAAAATTTTTATTCTTAAAAACTCATCAAGTTTATCCCCCAGTGGTTGAAAATTGAAATAATTAAGGTAGTCCAGTCGAGTAAGGTACTTACTGTCCAAAGTTCAGCCACTGCCTACCCACGCATGCGTGGTACGTGAGCGATAACTCGTGTTATATTCGACATCTTAATCAAGCCAATTTTTCCCTAGTTACCTCAATAACGTCAATAACAGCTCATTACTCATTAATTATTGAATCGGCATCACGAGTACTGATTGGTACCGATTACCAATTGAGTGACGCTGGTGCAAGCAAGCCGTACTTAATGTGTTGTCCGTCGCAGCGCTACCGAAGGTTGTTTGTGGTCACGTAGATATTAAGATGCAATCCGACATACGCCGCGCTGTAATTTATGGCCAGAATACATGGTCACATTTTACTTGTTATTAACGACGGATGTGAAGATACCCCTTACATTAGAATTTCAAGCGAACGTGCTCTAATGCACATTACGCCGTAATACTTTCGTGAAATTCATAATAATGGGGCAACCCCATATATAACGCTGGAAATAGAAGGAAAGTGCAACCGAAGCGTGTCTATTAATGCAAGCGAGTTTGTTCATTTCGCGATGCAGGAAAAATGGTGAGGGCGCCACCGGGTTTTCGCTCTACGCGTCATCAGAAAATGCAAGCTCGAATACAGCTACGCTTCGTTCCAATCTAGGGTAACTTAATTGATGGTTAATGTACTGGAAACGCGTACATAAATCCGAGCATTGCGTTTTCAGTCCGTTAGGTTGTTACATTTCAGTGGTTGCATACTATAAAATCAATTGGCAGATTGTCGAGGTATCGAGGTTATTCACACGGACATTACGGGTAACGCGGAGAATTATAGCAGCGATTAATTACATGAAGGCTTTAAGAACTTCATCTAGTTGGTGGATAAGTAGACCTGAGATTGAGATAATCACGGACCGCGATTTTTTTTTAATTTGTTGTGGTTCTTTGGTGCCAATTATCGTAAACAACGTCCACGATTTGAACTCATTTTGTTTCCGACAAGTGAGACTCCAGGGAATAGGGATTTGTACCGAAATTCACGCCTCCAACAAAGGTTATAATTAGGCTATAAGTTATAATTCGATTTGTTTGTGTTCTAGAAAATACACAATTGATCAATCTTTACTAATGCCTAGAACGACTCAAATATATTGGTTTTAATTTAAGACTAGAAGTCTAAGTCGTCTTAGACCAGTTAAGTATAATTTAAGGCTTTAAGAAATGGCTGATCTCCACTCATCCCCTCTCTATTTCCTACCTTCTTTTTTTTTTCGCTTCCTCCCTTTTCCTCCCTTATTTTCTCCTTCGAATTTTTTTGAGTCTGGCAAACGTGATTACAAACAAAGGACTTCGAAAGCAGTCAAGTCTTTGGACAAATGTGTAACTTCTACTCTTATCCACATTTTCCCCCTCACTCTATTCCTCTCTTTGCTCCTCCCTCTTTCATCTCTTTTTTGCCTTTCTTCCTTGTCCTCTCCCTTTCACTCCTTTTTCCCCTTTCTCCCCTTTCTCCCTTTTTTGTTTCCCCTCTCTTTTTTCGTCTCATTCTTTCCCTTCTCTGTACCCTTCTTTTCCCTTTTTTTTATCTCCTCTTTGTTAATTTCTCCTTTTGTTTCCCTTTTGCCCTCCCACGAGTTTTTTCATATTATTTAAGCGTGCTTATAAATGAAAATATTTTGAGAGCAATCAATCTTTGGGAAATATGTGGTCTTCACTCATTCCATCACTATTTCCCTGTTCTCCATTCTCTCTCTCGCTCTTTCTCAATTTCTCTTTATTATCTGTTTTCTTTTTCTTCCTTCTTTTCGTTCTTCAATCTTTTTTGCATCTCGGAAGATCTTCTGAGAGCAATGAAGTGTGTTTTCAATCTTTTCTCTACTCATCCCCTTACTATTTCCCTCTTTCTTTCTTAATTCCTTTAGTTCCCTCTCTGGTTCTCTTTTTCTTTTTTTGACTGCCCTCACCTTTCTTTTCCTCTTTCTTTCCTTTTCTTTTTCTCTCTACGTTTCCTCCTTTCTTTTCGTCCCACCAGTTTTTTGCATTTCTCATAAGCCTGCTTAGAAATGAAGATCTTCTGAGAGCAATAAAGTGTGGTTTAAATAATTGGGAAAAACGTGGTCTTCACCTATTCCCTCACTCGTCCTATCACTATTTCCCTCCTTCCTCCTTTCACTTTTGCTCTCTCTCTCTCTCTCTCTCAATTCCTCTATTTCCCTCTCTGTTTCTCATTTTCTTTGTTATTCTCTTCTTTTTCTTCCTTTTTTTCGTTCCTCCACTTTTTTTGTATCTCGGAATATCTTCTGAGAGCAGTTAAGTGTGTATAAAATATATAGTTTCACTCTTTTTTCTACTCATCCCCCCACTATTTCTCTCTTTCTTTCTCAGTCCCTCTAGTTCCCCCTCTGATTATGTCTTTCTTTTTGACTGTCCTCATCTATCTTTTCCTCTTTTTTTCCTTTTCTTTTTCTCTCTTCGTTTCCTTCTTTCTTTTCCTCCCTCGATTTTTTCGCATATCAAATCATTATTTTCCTCCTTCCTCCTTTCACTTTTTCTCTCTCTCTCTTTTTGTTACTTACTTTTGATTTCCTTTCCTCTCTCTTCCCCTGTACATTCTCTCTTGTTTTTCTTCTTTTTTTTCGTTCCTCGACCTTTTTTGCATCTCGGAAGATCAATCTCGGAATCAAATGTGGTTTAAATCCTTGAGAAATTTGTGGTTTTCACTCTACCCCTTACTCATCCTTCCATTTTTTCTTTCCCTCTTCCTCTTATTCTTACATTTCCTCCTTCCTTCTCTCCCAATTCCTGTTTTCTTCACGAAGTCTCTTTTTCTTTTTGAGTGTCTTCCACTTTTTTCCTCTTTCTTCCTCTTCTCCGTCTCTCTAATTTTTTTCTAAAAGCACTTAAGTGTGCTGTCAATGTTTGTAAAATATGTGATTTTCACTCTGCCCTTCTCTCTTCCTATCATTCATCTTCTCATTCTTTCCCTCTTTATTTTTCATTTTTATCTCTTCTTTTCTAGCTCTTTTTCCCTTTCTTTTCTTCCTTCTTCTCCTCCTCTCTTTTGCTCTCTCCCTTCTCTTTCTTCTTTCCCTCCCTCGAGTTATTTTCACGTCTTTTAAGTGATAGATCCTTGGGAAATATCACTCATCCCACCACTATTTCTCTCTCTCTTTTTCTCCTTCCTCCTCTCACTCTTTCTCTCCCTCTTAATTCCTCTACTCCTCTCTCTGTTTCTCCCTTTCCTTGTTAGGTATTCTCTTTTGCTTTCTTTTCCTCTCTCTTCCCCTTCCTTTTCTTTTTTCTTTTCCTTCCTTTTTTCGTCCTCGCCCTTTTTTGCGATTCTCAAGATCTTCTGAAAGAAGTTAAGTGTGTTTAAAATATATAGTTTTCACTCTTTTCTCTACTCATCCCTCCACTATTTCTCTCTTTCTTTCTCAGTCCCTTTAGTTCCCTCTCTGATTATGTCTTTCTTTTTCACTGTCCTCATCTATCTTTTCCTCTTTCTTTCCTTTTCTTTTTCTCTCTTCGTTTCCTTCTTTCTTTTCCTTCCTCGAGTTTTTCGCATATCCCATCACTGTTTCCCTCCTTCCTCCTTTCACTCTTTCTCTCTCTCTCTCTCTCACGTTCTCTCTCTCAATTGCTCTATTTCCCTCTCTGTTTCTCTCTTTCTTTGTTATTTTTTTTTTGTTTCCTTTCCTCTCTCTTTCCCTGTATATTCTCTCTTCTTTTTTTCTTTTTTTTTTATTCCTCGATTTTTTTTGCATCTCGGAAGATCAATCTCGGAATCAAACGTGGTTTAAATCCTTGAGAAATTTGTGGTTTTCACTCTATCCCTTATTCATCCTTCCACTTTTTCTTTCCCTTTTCCTCTTATTCTTACATTTCCTCCTTCCTTCTCTCCCAATTCCTGTTTTCTTCACGAAGTCTCTCTTTCTTTTTGACTGTCTTCCACTTTTTTCCTCTTTCTTCCCCTTCTCCGTCTTTCTAATTTTGTTCTAAGAGCACTTAAGTGTGCTGTCAATGTTTGGAAAATATGTGATTTTCACTCTACCCTTCTCTCTTCCTCTCATTCATCTTCTCATTCTTTCCCTCTTTATTTTTCATTTCTATCTCTTCTTTTCTAGCTCTTTTTCCCTTTCTTTTCTTCCTTCTTCTCCTCTCTTTTGCTCTCTCCCTTCTCTTCCTTCTTTCCTTCCCTCGAGTTATTTTCACGTCTTTTAAGTGATAGATCCTTGGGAAATATCACTCATCCCACCACTATTTCTCTCTCTTTTTTTCTCCTTCCCCCTGTCACTCTTTCTCTCCCTCTTAATTCCTCTACTCCTCTCTCTGTTTCTCCCTTTCCTTGTTAGGTATTCTCTTTTGCTTTCTTTTCCTCTCTCTTCCCCTTCCTTTTCTTTTTTCTTTTCCTTCCTTTTTTCGTCCTCGCCCTTTTTTGGGATTCTCAAGATCTTCTGAGAGCAGTTAAGTGTGTTTAAAATATATAGTTTTCACTCTTTTCTCTACTCATCCCTCCACTATTTCTCTCTTTCTTTCTCAGTCCCTTTAGTTCCCTCTCTGATTATGTCTTTCTTTTTCACTGTCCTCATCTATCTTTTCCTCTTTCTTTCCTTTTCTTTTTCTCTCTTCGTTTCCTTCTTTCTTTTCCTTCCTCGAGTTTTTCGCATATCCCATCACTATTTCCCTCCTTCCTCCTTTCACTCTTTCTCTCTCTCTCTCTCTCACGTTCTCTCTCTCAATTGCTCTATTTCCCTCTCTGTTTCTCTCTTTCTTTGTTATTTTTTTTTGTTTCTTTTCCTCTCTCTTCCCCTGTATATTCTCTCTTCTTTTTTTCTTTTTTTTTATTCCTCGATTTTTTTTCCATCTCGGAAGATCAATCTCGGAATCAAACGTGGTTTAAATCCTTGATAAATTTGTGGTTTTCACTCTATCCCTTACTCATCCTTCCACTTTTTCTTTCCCTCTTCCTCTTATTCTTACATTTCCTCCTTCCTTCTCTCCCAATTCCTGTTTTCTTCACGAAGTCTCTCTTTCTTTTTGACTGTCTTCCACTTTTTTCCTCTTTCTTCCCCTTCTCCGTCTCTCTAATTTTTTTCTAAGAGCACTTAAGTGTGCTGTCAATGTTTGGAAAATATGTGATTTTCACTCTACCCTTCTCTCTTCCTCTCATTCATCTTCTCATTCTTTTCCTCTTTATTTTTCGTTTCTATCTCTTCTTTTCTAGCTCTTCTTGCCTTTCTTTTCTTCTTTCTTTTCCTCTCTTATGCTCCCTCCCTTGTCTTTCTTCTTTCCCTCCCTCTAGTTATTTTCAGGTCTTTTAAATGATAGATCCATGGGAAATATCACTCATCCCACCACTATTTCTCTCTCTCTTTTTCTCCTTCCCCCTCTCACTCTTTCTCTCCCTCTTAATTCCTCTATTCCTCTCTCTGTTTCTCCCTTTCCTTATTAGGTATTCTCTTTTGCTTTCTTTTCCTCTCTCTTCCCCTTCCTTTTCTTTTTTCTTTTCCTCCCTTTTTTCGTCCTCGTCCTTTTTTGAGTTTCTCAAGATCTTCTGAGAGCAGTTAAGTGTATTTTAAAATGATGTAGTTTTCATTCTTTTCTATACTAGCCTCCTTATATTTCTTTCCGTTCTTCCTTCCTTCCTTTCTTTCTTTCTTTCTTTCTTTCTTTCTTTTCGTCTTTCTTTCTTCCTTTCTTTCTTTCTTTCTTTCTTTCCCTTGAGTTTTCGCATGTCTCGTAAGCATGTTTAGAAGTCAAGATCTCATGAGAAAAATCAAATGTGGTTTAAATCCTTGGAAAATATGTAATTTTCACTCTTCTCTTTCCTCCTCCTCCCACGATTTCCTTCTCTCTTCCTCCAATTCTTACATTTACTCTTTCTCTTTTTCCCAGTTCCTCTATTATCCTCACGATGTCCCTCTTCTTTTTGACTGTCTTCCACTTTCTTTTTCCCTTTCTTCCCCTTCTCCGTATTTCTCCTTTTCTTCTGAGAGCAGTTAAGTGTGCTTTAAATCTTTGGAAAATGTGTGATCTTCACTCTGTTCTTCTCTCGTCTTCTCACTCTTTCGCCCTTTATTTTTCGTTTCTGTTGCTCTCTTTCTAACTCTTTTTGTATTTCTTTTCTTCCTTCTTTTCCTCCCTCGAATTATTTTCACGTCTTTTAAGGGTTAAATTCTTGGAGAATATGAGATTTTCACTCTTTCCCTCACTCATCCCACCACTATTTCCCTCTGTTTCTCTCTTCCCCCTTTTTTTCTTCTCTCCTTTTCCGTCCTACTTTTTATCCCACGAATGTCTTACGTCGCATGATCTTTTGAGGGCAATTAAGTATGTTTTAAATATATGTAGTCTTCACTCTTTCCCACACTCATTCCTCTACTATCGTTCTCTCTCTTTTCTCCTCTCTTCCTCTCACTCTAACTTCCTCCCTTCCCCCCCCCTCTCTCTCTCTATCTCTTTCAATCTTTCTAGTTCCAAGGCTATTTCTCTCTTTCTTTTTGACTCTCCGTCACTTTGTATTCCCTTCTTTTTCTCTTTCTCACTCCATTTCCCTCGTTCCCTTCCCCGACTTTTTTCACGATTTATGTGTTTTAGAAATCAAGATCTTCTGAAAGCAATCAAATGTGGTTTAAATCCTTGAGAAATACTTTTAATTCTTTTAGTTCCTCATTTCCCCACCATTTCTCTCTCTCTCTTTCCGTTCCTTTTCCTCTCAGGTTTTTCCTCGCTCTTTCAATTTCCCTTTTTCTGACTCTGTTACGTTTTCCTTTAGCTCTCTTTTCTTGTCTTTTTCCCTCTTTATCTTTACGTCTCTTTTCTTTCATCGACGTTTTTCGTGTCTGAAGATCTTCTGAGAAGAGTCAATTCTTTGATAAATGTGGAATCTTCACTCGTCCCCTCTATACCTCTATATTTCCATCTCTCTGTGTCCCTCTTCTAACTCTTTCCCGTTCTTCTTTCTTCTTTTCGTTTCCTCTTCTCATTCATTAAGTTTTTTCGAATCCCATAAGCGTTTTAGAAATCAAAATCTTCAGAAAGCTTTGAAATGTGTTTTAAATCCGGGAAATGTGATCTTCACTCTTCCCCTCACCTACTCTCTCACAATTTCCCTCTCTATTTTTCTTCTCTTTCCCATTTTCTTTTTCTCTCTTCCTTTTTGACTTTCTTCCACTCCATTTCGTATTCCCTTCCCTCTCTCAAGTTTTTCCACTCTTATAAATGTGTTAAATCAAGATATGATAGTACTTTAGTTCCTTTAAATCTGGGAAATATGTAATTTTCACTCTTCTTCTTCCTCATTCTCCTATTATTTCCCTCTCTGCTTCTCTCTTTCTTTCTGACTCTCACACTTTTCTTTCATCTCTCTTTCCCTTTCTCTTTTACCCTACTTCTCCTTGTCTCTTTTCGTTCCTTGAGTTTTTTCGCGTCTCAGGATCTTCTGAGAGCATGAGAAATGTGTGATCTTCCCCCTCCCCCTTTCTCGTTCCCTCCCTTGTTCCTTCACTCTTTCCCTCTTTACTTCCATCTATCCCTCTTTTTTTCTTCATCTTCTCCTCTCGTTTCCTTCCCTCTTTCCCTCAATCGAGTTTTTTCACGTCTCATAAGCGTCTTTATAAATGAAGATCTTATAAGAACAGTCAACTTTGTTTCAAATTCTTGGGAAATACATAATCTACAAATTTCCTCTTTATAAAAACAAAAGAGTGCTTTTATTAAATAATTTAACACTGTACCTAATAAAGGAAATATATTTGTCCAAACTAAAAAACTAGTGGCGCCATTACAAAAAAATTGGTCGAAAGTTGTTTCGACAGAACTTCTCTCGCTCCTGAAATACAATGATAATTTTTTTTGAGTCAAACTGTATACGCAAATCGAAAAAATATTAATGGAATGATAAATCACAAGTACAGACTCATCATATTTTGTACATTTTAGATAGGATTTGTTCAGCAAAATTTTGGGGTGACGTCATCAATTTTTTGGAGGGGATAAGTAAATATATTTTGAATAAAATTTTATCATGCTTATCATAACTGTAAACCATCTGCAAGATTTCAAAGCATTCGGTTTTGTAGATTCCAAAGTAAATGTCAAAATGTTGTTTCCTAATTTTGATTTTTTTCCAAAAATTTGGACGTTTCGGGTAAAATTTCAATTCGGAGTCATAAACTACATTTGTAAGACTATGTTATTTGATATAATTTAAAACCCAATTACTATGTTCAATTTTGAAGTGACGTCATCACATTAGTTTTGGGGATAATTAGACAAATTTTGGTTAGCATTCTACCATCTACATGATGTACCTAATATAAATACAAAATTTGACAACAATCGACTTAGTACTTTCGGAGATTTTCTGTCTAATAGAAATCCGGGACGGCAGACAGACGGACAGACGGATAGACAGACAGAGGGAAACGGGAGACCTATTTCTTCGTCCTCTTACGCTCGGGAAGTAAAAATATTAGGGGGAATATTTAAAAAAAAATGGTTTAAGGTGCGATTCAGTTATGGAATTTTAAAAATATCAATTTCGAAAAAAAAACATTTCGTGGAAAAATAGCGATTCCAATTTTTTTCAATAAAATTTGTAATTTATCCGACTTTCCAAGATTCCAACAGCGAAAATGAACTACTTTCACCAATATTTTGAAAGTTACTGGTGGTTATTGGTCAACATCCTGCCAACTTTCCACGAAATAATTCGGCGACACCCTACACCTCCAAACCCGCCGAACCGATTAATGAAAACGTCAGCGCAATCACACGAAAATGCGAAGAATGCCCATAACCACGAGGTCACTCCCGCCCGCCCCAGCTGTTCCTACCGGTTCTCCGAATCCCCGGCCGCCCCCTCGCCCGCCGCCACTGCCGAAACAATACCGCTAACGATAAAGTTCACAGCCGAGTACTGTTAATTCCCCACAGAAAGGCAGCGCGCAGCAATCCGCCACAAGCCCATCTGTTGCGTCACGAATAAATCTGATCATTCGGCGAAGATCAAAGGCCGCCGCCGCCTTATTGAGACGTAACGCGTGTGAAAAAGCGGCGGCCGTAACGGCCGGCACCGTAAGGACGAGTTTGTGGCGGCTGCAGCGCTTTCGGCGAACTCAAAGCGGAAACATTACGTCTCCACACAATGGGCATTTCGGCATCGTCGAAAGGTGCCGACGGCGGATGTGCGGGTGCGAGGCAGGGACCAGCGCGAGGACCGCGCCTCTGAAAGCGAAAAAAACGATCTACGACTGATCAAAGGTCTGGTGTGTTTGTATTGCGGGGTCTTCCTGAGGCAAAAACAAATGAAAATCGCAAACAATACTCGATTATCTTTTTATCTTGCATGTAGTTGTTTTCGTATTTGTTTTACACGCTTATTTAACGTGTTAATAGTACGTTGAATAAAAGTCGACGATATTGTTTTTCCCTGAACGAAAACCATAAGCTATAAAGTTTTCTCGAGAAATGTCTGGATAGCTTTCTCTTTAACAACTATGGCTTCGCACTCCCCTGTAATGGGTTGGTATGGGATTGATAACTAGACGTTACACTAACTGTAGTTTATTTATCACTTTTGGTCGTTTATAATTACACGGTGAGAATGACTATGTCATTACAATGTACTTATTCTTATTGTTATTTTTACATTTTTGTAGTTCGTTTTTATACTTTTTGAAAATGCGTTTTTAATGGTAAAAGTATATACGTCACTGAACAGAAGGTGACAGAAGGTTACATTAATTGACTTTCACACTAAGTGGATCTTAATAGCTACTTACAAAATAATTAACAAAAATAATAAAACATAGATAATGAGGAGATAGGTACATTACATCTCCCCCCTTAAAGAAGAAATTAGTCAAGGATTGATTTCTTAATTAAATAGAGATTCGGGCTTTATTGTAGTCGTATAGGTTCCCTTCAATTTGTCGTTTATTTGCCCAGCTTGGCGACGAATTACCGACGCTTCTGATGGTGCTGGACTCGGTGGACGACTGTTTCCAAGAATTGCAATGTACTCTGGAGCTGATGGGTTTGAATGCATCGGAACGCTTTCAGGAACTTGGATCGGTTTCCTTCTTTTCATCATACGTGGAAGGAACCTAACTTTCTGTCTTTTAACATATTTTAAATAGAGGTAATAAGTGGTCCTGACTACAACAAGCAAAATTAATATTTTGAATACAATTATAACAGTGTATGAAACCGAGTTGGGTACATTTGGTATTAGTGATTCGGATATGATTAAGTTATTGGTCTCCTGCTCTAACATTTTTAATTTATGACTTACTAGATTCAAATTTTCCGTGTTTAATTTATTTAACGTTAATGGTGTTACAGAAAATGTTTGGTTCAAAACGACATCTGGAAAAGTGAAGTTTCGAGTTTTTAGTTTCGGTAAAATATGAAGATAAATGTTTTTTGTGTTGGATTGTTGGGATTTTATATTAGTGTGATGAGTATATAATTTGCAATTTGGTTTACACTAGCACCAAATTTCGGTGTATTTTAGATTAAGAACGGTGGATGATGAATAGATTTGAAATTGTGGTTAGTTGTCTGAAAGAAAGATTTTTAATTAATTATAATTACAAAGTTAGTGTAAATTAATGAGTTTAGTATTTTTTTTTTTGGGTTTATTGTATTAATTCTTGTATCCGTTAGGATAAATGATTATAAATTTTTAGTTTATTACCATGGACCTTTTGTTTTTTGTTACCGATGAGCAAGGTATAATTCACGGGTGAGTTTATTTCAATTATTTTGTATGGGCCTTTATAATTTGGAGTAAGTTTTTTTGATCTGTTGGGCTTAGATTGTTCATTTAATAGGTAGACCTTGTCACCAATTTTGAAATTTTGATTATTAGATTTTCTATCATAGCATTGTTTATTATTTTCCTTCGATTGTAAAATGTGCTTTCGAGCAATTTCGTGAGATTTCTGTAATTTTAAGGTTAAATTATCAATGTAGTCATCGTAAGTATATTTAAATTCTGGATTTTTCGTTATACTTGTTGGTAAATTAGCTTTGGTTCCATAAATTAATTCAAAGGGAGTGAATTTGGTTGTCGTTTGAACAGTCGTATTATATGAAAACATTGCAAAATCTATCCATTGATCCCAATTTGTTTGATCTTCATTGATATAATGTTTCAGATAATCGGCCAATGTATGATGGCTTCGTTCTAAAGCTCCATTACTTTGTGGATGATAGGTAGTACAATTGATTTGTTTAATTTTGAATAATTTAGCGACTTGTTTCAATAAATTTTAAGTAAAATCTTTACCTTGATCTGTAACTATCATTGAAGGAATCCCATGCTTACAAATAAATTCGTGAACTAATCTTTGAGCAATTGTTTCGGCTTCATGATTGGGTATAGGATAAGCTTGAGAATACTTAGTTAAGTCATCTTGTAGAGTTAAGATGAATTTGTTTCCGTTTTCAATTAATGGCAGAGGTCCGACAATATCTAAAAATATTTTTTCAAAAGGAGCTTCACTTGTTGTTGTAATGACCATGGGTTGCTTATTCTTTTTACGGACTAATTTATTTTTTTGACAGGATTCGCAAGTTTTGACAAAATTTTTTATATCCTTTTTCATATTATCCCATTTATAGTTGTGTTTCACGCGATGATAAGTACGGTGGAAACCTGAATGTCCTGAACTTGGGTTTGAATGATTTTAATTAAAATTTATTTAATCTCGTCTAGATTTCGGGGAGTGATTAAATTGTTAAAAAACACTTTGATTCTAATATCGGTATTTTTAAAAACATATCTAATAATTGAACGCACCTTATGCCAATGTAATTTATCAAGGGTTAATATTGGTCTGGCTAGATTTATTGTATTAACATTGTCTTGAATTAGATTGTTTTTTAGTTTTGAAAATAGGTTAAAAAGAGTTTCATATGATGAATTTTCCCAATAGTACGATTTAGTAATCATATAATAAATTTTTTTTTTATTTTCAGAGATTTTGATTATTTTATTTGATTCTAACTGCTGGCTCTGCAAGAGTTGTATGTGATTTGGATACTTTTTGATAAGTTCATTTTGATGAGGGTCTCTGAATTCTAAATCACTAGAAATAGTCAATGCAATATTATCAGAAGAATCTATAGGATCGCCGCTAATTTCTTCGAGATTATTATTACTTAAAATCGTGGTTTTTAGTTTATGTAAGAATTCTGAATATGTATCATTATTTTGCTTATCGTTTGCTGTTATCTGATTAATCGTTACTGTATTATCTTCAATGGGGTTTCGGCTTAGGGCATCCGCGATTTGGTTTAGTTTTCCGGGTCTGTAAATTATTTCATAGTCATACTCTTCTAGAGCTAATCGCCATCTTATTAATCTTGATCCGGGATCTTTTACATTAAACAACCATGTTAAGGGACGGTGATCAGTAATAATTTTGAATTTTCTACCATAAAGATATGGACGGAAATGTTTAATACTCCAAACAATAGCTAAAAGTTCTTTCTCAGTTGTAGAGTAGTTTAATTCTG